TACTTTAACTGACAATTGCGCGGTCATGCAATGCTGCATCCAAATGAAATTTACATCATTTTTTCCCACTAATTGAGCTTTCTTGCTGTGGTATTTGATCGCCTGTGCGTTTTGGGGTTTTTTTTGCGCTAGAAACAAAAAAAATTGAAGAAACCAACTATTTTGACTTTATGCTATAAAAAAAATGCAGTAAAAAATAAATCCCAATACGTGTAAATTAATTGGTTTACGTGAAAGTTATAGCGTCTACAAATGGCGGTATAGATACTGGGATTTTTTAAATTATATACTAGTAATGACGGCGATCAGCGACTTATAGCGGGACTGCGGCGGGCATTCTGATACTGACGGGGAACTGACTAACTGTCATCCCCAGTGACACCAATACAGTGATCAGTGCTAATAAAAGCACTGACACTGTATTAATGGCACTGGGCAGGAAAGGGTTAACATATGAGGTGATCAAAAGGTTAACTGTGTGCTGGGTGTGTTTTATATAGTGTCCTGTGTTTGTGCTTCACTCTAAGCACACTGCTTTGTATGGCTGTACAAAGCAGTGTGCACAAGCTGGCAGGGGAGAGAACTGTTTAGATTACAAACAGTTCTCTCCACCCCCCTCTTTCCCCCGTTGGAAATGCTCAGCAATCACCAGGCGGGACCCTGTGATTAACAGCCGAGGCCATGAATGGCGGCACGGGTAGGGCGCTCGTGCTCCTCGTGTGCACCCCCTACCCGGTAATTCAAAATCACGTGTATATATATATATATATATATATATATATATATATATATATATACGTGATTTTGTGCACCTGTGCTGCCCTGTAGCAGTACATCTGCTATAGGGCGGAGGGGAAGCGGTTAATCCCATAACAACACAGTAACGCATATATGTAGCATCAAGGAAGCGGGATTGAGGTTGTGTTCACACTTGAGCGTTCTGTCGCTTGAGTCCTCATGCACACGGGGCGTTTTGATAACGCTGGTTTTGTTGCTTGACTCTTCTCGCACACGGGCGTTTTGATAACGCTGGTTCTGTCGCTTGAGTCCTCACGCACACAGGGCGTTTTGATAACGCTGGTTCTGTCGCTTGAGCCCTCACGCACACAGGGCGTTTTGATAACGCTGGTTCTGTCGCTTGAGTCCTCACGCACACAGGGCGTTTTGATAACGCTGGTTCTGTCGCTTGAGCCCTCACGCACACAGGGCGTTTTGATAACGCTGGTTCTGTCGCTTGAGTCCCCACGCACACGGGGCATTTTGATAACGCTGGTTCTGTCGATTGAGTCCTCATGCACACGGGGTGTTTTGATAACGCTGGTTCTGTCGATTGAGTCCTCACGCACACGGGGCGTTTTGATAAGGCTGGTTCTGTCGATTGAGTCCTCATGCACACGGGGTGTTTTGATAACGCTGGTGACATTAGCTGTGTAAAGTCATGTTAAAAACCGGAGTTTTTCAGCTTTTTTTAGCATTTTTGCATTAGCGTTTAGCGACGTTTTCCTGCATTTTTCCTCATTTGCATTTTTTAGCGTTTATTTTTTTACAAAAAAACATTTATTTTTTGATAAAAAAAATCCAAAAATGCAGGTTTTCGGCGTTTTATATCGCGTTTTTCAGCAGTAGAGGGTTTTTACAGCTAAAAAAACTCCTCTAGAAACTCACTAGTTCTGGAGGTCTTTTTCCAGCCAAAAAATGTTGATTCCAGTCTATGTGTGTATGGACATATAGGATAACATGCTGGGGGGGTTTACTGGCTGTAGAAAAACCGTCAAAAGTCAAAAACAACTGCTGTAAAAACGTTCAGTGTGCGTGAGGACTGAAGCTTGAAGCTCTAAAAATGCTCAAACTTAAATAATCAGTTGTTCTCTATGGTGCCTGTCCGTGTGACCAGGTGTGAACGGGCACCATAGAGAACAATTGATTTTTTAAGTTTGAGCTTTTTTGGAACTTCGAGCTTCAGCTACAAAACGCTCAAGTGTGAACGCAGCCTTAAACCTGGGCGCCGCATACATGTGTTCTTGTGTTTATGCTGGGTGCGTGCGTGACATGAGCAGAAAGGAGAGCACAGAGAGTTGAAGGACACTCCATGGCTGAAGAACTTGGCGATGATTTTTGAAGGAGTAAGTTAGCCGTGATGGTTGAAAACCACTGCTCTAGAAATGAGAAGGAGAACTTAAGATTTGTGAGCGTAAGAAAAGTTCTGTTTTAATAACGTGTATGTAAGGTGACCACGTTGGTCACTGACCAATTATATGCTTTCATTCATAAGTCTTCTTGTTGCATTACCTCATTAGATTTGTTGAAAACTCATCAGAAGGTACTTTCATAGCTACCAGATGTTTTTCCAGTCATGACTGATCCAAAAAGAACAGACCAGGAAAGAAAGATATTGACCGAAAGAATATACCAAGAAATCCTGAACCTCACCCTGGAGATTTTCTACCTGTTGACTGGAAAGGTGAGAGGTATTCTGGAACTGTCACATTGTCCTTATTTCGGTCTTTCTTTCACTCCTCCCATTGGTCAGTACTCTGTTTTTTTTTATGCTTGCTGTTGGTCAGTCTTATCTTTTTTCACCCTTACATTTAGTCATTTGTCTCACTGACCATTCTCCTGTTCTTTTTGTCTTCCATTGGTTATTCTCCTCTTCTTTCACTCCTACTGTTGGTCAGTCATCTTTTCCTTCACTCTTCCCATTGGTCAGTTCCCTGTTCCTTAGCACCTCCTGTTGGTCAGTCTTCTCTTCCTTCACGCCTCCATTTATTCTCTTCACAGCTCCCATTGGTCACTGTCCTTTAGGCCTTTCTCCTCTTCTTTCACTCCTTCTGTTGGTCAGTTGTCTTTTCCTTCACTCCTCCCATTGGTCAGTTCCCTGTTCCTCAGCACCTCCCGTTGATTGAAGAAAAAAGGCAGGAAGGAAGAGATGACCATTCTCTTCACACCTCCCATTGGTTGGTCTCCTGTTCTTTAGGCCTTCTATTGGTCATTCTCCTCTTCCTCCTATTGGTCAGTCTCCTCTGGTTTTATGCCTCCTGTTATCTCATTGGTTGGTCTTCTGTTCTTTAGGTCTTCCATTGGTCATTCTCCTTTTCTTTCACTCCTACTGTTGGTCAATTGTCTTTTCCTTCACTCCTCCCATTGGTCAGTTCCCTGTTCCTTAGCACCTCCTGTTGGTCAGTCTTCTCTTCCTTCATGCCTCCATTTATTCTCTTCACAGATTCATAGCTCCCATTGGTCACTGTCCTTTATGTCTTTCTCCTCTTCTTTCACTCCTACTGTTGGTCAGTCATCTTTTCCTTCACTCTTCCCATTGGTCAGTTCCCTGATCCTTAGCACCTCCTGTTGGTCAGTCTTCTCTTCCTTCATGCCTCCATTTATTCTCTTCACAGCTCCCATTGGTCACTGTCCTTTAGGCCTGTCTCCTCTTCTTTCAATCCTTCTGTTGGTCAGTTGTCTTTTCCTTCACTCCTCCCATTGGTCAGTTCCCTGTTCCTTAGCACCTCCTGTTGGTTGGTCATCTCTTCCTTCATGCCTCCATTTATTCTCTTCACAGCTTCACAGCTCCCATTGGTCACTGTCCTTTAGGCCTTTCTCCTCTTCTTTCACTCCTTCTGTTGGTCAGTTGTCTTTTCCTTCACTCCTCCCATTCGTCAGTTCCCTGTTCCTTAGCACCTCCTGTTGGTTGGTCATCTCTTCCTTCATGCCTCCATTTATTCTCTTCACAGCTTCACAGCTCCCATTGGTCACTGTCCTTTAGGCCTTTCTCCTCTTCTTTCACTCCTTCTGTTGGTCAGTTGTCTTTTCCTTCACTCCTCCCATTGGTCAGTTGCCTGTTCCTCAGCACCTCCTGTTGGTTGGTCATCTCTAACTTCCTGCCTTCTTTTCTTCATTCTCTTCACACCTCCCATTGGTTGGTCTCCTGTTCTTTAGACCTTCCATTGGTCATTCTCCTCTTCCACCTGTTGGTCAGTCTCCTCTGGCTTTATGCCTCCTGGTATCTCATTGGTCAATCTCATTTACCTGCATGTCTCCTGTTGGTCACTCTTATCTGACTTCATACTTCTTATTGGTAACTCTCATCTGCCTTCACCCATTTTATTTATTTCAGGTACTTATATAGTGCCGTCAATGTATGCATCGCTTTACATATATTGTACATTCACATCAGTCTCTAACCCTAAAGGGGCGTACAATCTAAGGTCCCTAACTCACATTCATACATACACATACTAGGGTCAGTTTAGACTTGAACCAATTAACCTACCAGCCTGTCTCTGGAGTGTGGGAGGAAACCCACACAGGCACAGGGAGAACATGCAAATTCCATGCAGGTGGTGTCCTGGTTGGGATTTGAACTGACAATCCTAGTGCTGCCAGGTGGAAGTGCTAACCATTTAGCCACTAGGCTGCCCATTGCTCAGTCTTGTCAATGTACTGTTGGTCAGCCTTGTCTTCTCAGTCTGCATCTGTGCTGTCCTGTCCTGTATCTGTTCCTCTGATTCCCATCATTTTGTCCAAATAATTTTTCATCTACTTCAGCTATCCCTTCACTGTTAGGAAACTTGCGTCCAACCCATCAGCGGTAATAGCTTGCTTATCACTTTCCAACTGTTCATTATGTTTTTCATTTTGAACCTCTAGTCCTCCCATTTATTTTTTTCCTCTCACATCTGACCTGCCTGCCCATTGATTTACACATATGTGTTTGTTACTACTCAGGATTACACTGTAATAAAAAAGACAGCCAGTGAGTGTATGACAACCAGCTTCCATCCCCTTGAGTCAGGGCAGTGGAGCGGGAGCCAGATCCCCACCATGGAACTTCTACCCACTGCCCTAATAGTGGAGGAAAGAACGGAAAGAAAGATATTGGAAGCCACCGACAACATTGTTAAACTGCTGACGGGAAAGGTGAGCGGTTCTGGGAGGTATGGGACATTCTCCAGTACCAGACAAGGGATGTGTCTGGATGGTGACTTTATCATTGTGTGTGTCAGGTTCCTATAAGGTGTCAGGATGTCACTGTCTATTTCTCCATGGAGGAGTGGGAGTATATAGAAGGGCACAAGGATCTCTACAAGGACGTCATGATGGAGAAAGGGCCTCCTATCATATCAACTGGTAAGAGGACACGAGTACTGAGGATCCTTCTGCCGTAGGTAAACACATCCCCCTATATAAAGACATAGAAACAATACATTCAGTCAGTGTGTGTTGCCTACAGATGGATCCAGTAATGGGAACCCACCAGAGAGATGTCCCCGTCCTCTGTATTCCCGGGACTCCACACAGGAACATCAGGAGATCCCTCAGGAGGATCAGGTAGGTGGAAAGTCTTTTTTAAGCAGAATTCTAGCCAGATATAAAAGACAAGAATTAGCTCTGTATTCAACGATACATACTGCAATATACACTATATTGCCCCAAGTATTGGTCGGCCAGCCTTTCTATGCATATGACCTTTAATGGCCCCCTCAGTCTTAGTCCATAGGGTTCCATATTGAGTTGGCCCACCCTTTGCAGCTATAACAGCTTCAACTCTTCTGGGAAGGCTGTCCACAAGGTTTAGGAGGGTGTCTATGGGAAGGTTGGACCATTCTTCCAGAAGCACATTTGTCAGGTCAGGCACTGATGTCGGGGGAGGAGGCCTGGCTTGCAGTCTCCGCTCTAATTCATCCCAAAGGTGTTCTATGGGGTTGAAGTCAGGACTCTGTGCAGGCCAGTCAAGTTCCTCCACCCCAAACTGGCTCCTTCATGTCTTTATGGACCTTGCTTTGTGCACTGGTGCGCAGTCATGATGGAACAGGAAGGGGCCATCCCCAAACTCTTCCCACAAAGTTGGGGGCATGAAATTGTCCAAAGTTTCTTGTTTTGCTGATGCCTCAAGAGTTCCCTTCACTGGAACTAGGGGGCCAAGCCCAACCCCTGAGGAACAACCCCACACCATAATCCCCCCTCCACCAAACTTTACACTTGGCACAATGCAGTGGGGCAAGTACCGTTCTGGCAACCGCCAAACCCAGACACATCCATCGGATTGGCAGATAGAGAAGCCTGATTGGTCACTCCAGAGAACACATCTCCATTGCTCTAGAGTCCAGTGGCGGTGTGCTTTACACCACGGCATCCGACGCTTTGCATTGCACTTGGTGATGTAAGGCTTGGATGCAGCTGCTCGGCCATGGGAACCCATTCCATGAAGCTCTCTATGCACTGTTGTTGGGCTTAACTGAAGGCCACACCAAGTTTGGAGGTCTTTAGCTATTGACTCTGCAGACAGTTGGTGACTTCTGTGCGCTTCAGCATGTGCTGACCCCGCTCTGTCATGTGACATGGCCTACCACTTGGTGGCTGAGTTGCTCTTGTTCCCAGTTGCTTCCACTTTGTTATAATCCCACTAACAGTGAGCGTGGAATATTTAGTAGCCAGGAAATGTCACGGATGGACTTATTGCACAGGTGACAACCTATCACGGGACCACGCTTGGAGTCACTGAGCTCCTGAGAGCGACCCATTCTTTCACCAATGTTTGTAGAAGCAGTCTGCATGCCTAGGGGCTTGATTGTATACACCTGTGGCCATGGAGGGGATTGGAACACCCGAATCACATGATTTGGAGGGCTGGCCCAATACTTTTGGCAATATAGTGTATTTTGTAAATGCTAGTAGTGTAAGTACCTGCCTCTTGCAGTCTCTATAGAGCAGAGCTCAGACAGAGGGAAGGAGAATGTGCACAAGCAGCCAGATTATGTAAAGCTCAGGACTGGATGGACAAACAGCTCTCATATATGTGTTAGGCTACTTTCAACCGCATGACCATTAAATCCTGTGGAACTCTTCACAATGGTCAGTTGTGGGCCGTTGCATTTTTTTTTTTTAAATGTCCTGCAAGCTGCATTTTTTGTGCAGTTAAAAAAAAGCACCAAAAACACACTTCCACCCAGAAATGAATGGAAAACACATCAAAAACGTGGCAAAGATACATAAAAAATGCATCCACCGTTGCATTTTTGATGCAATTTTTTCAGCCGTTTTTTTTTTCACAGGTGCAAAATGCACCAAAAACGTGGCAAAAATGGATATACTTTTTTTTCACTGCGTTTGCAACGGAGAAGTGATCAAGTAGCCTTAACTGTGTATTTGGCCCTTTGCCTGGAGTTCAGCATGAAATAATAACATTAAAGTGTTACTAAACACACAACAGTACAATCAGTCTGTAGATGCAGTAAAGCACGCTTGTTATACTCACTGTGGAACCTAAGGGGCTAATCCTCCGCATTATGTAAAAAGGATGTTTGATCCTGACTTCTCTGATCTTCCCCTTTTTCCAGTGTCCCCCTCTTATCTCCTGATAACACATATCATGTGGAGTCACTCTGCACATGCTCAGTTTGGTGTGTATTGCTAGAGAGATTCTTTTTTTTTTTCTTGGGAGAGTGCATGTGATCAGCACAGGGCCAATCATCACTGCCCAGACAGAGGTCAGGGGTTCTGCATCCTCCTAGAGCAGAAAGCCAGTGCTCTGCTGGATACTGATAGAAGTCACAAGACTGCTACATACTGCTGATGAGAAAAGGGATTTAGCAGTTTATATTTGCTAAAATAATTGCATTTCCATGTTGTGTGTACTGTGGGAGACCAGCTAGAGTGAATGCAGGGTCCAGGGAGACCAGATATAGTGAATGCAAAGGTCCCGGGAGACCAGATATAGTGAATGCAGGGTCCGGGGAGAGCAGATATAGTGAATGCAGGGTCCGGGGAGACCAGATATAGTGAATGCAGGGTCCGGGGAGACCAGATATAGTGAATGCAGGGTCCGGGGAGACCAGATATAGTGAATGCAGGGTCCGGGGAGACCAGATATAGTGAATGCAGGGTATGGGCAGAGCGATATAGTGAATGCAGGGTTCCGGGAGAGCAGATATAGTGAATGCAGGGTCCGGGGAGACCAGATATAGTGAATGCAGGGTCCAGGGAGACCAGATATAGTGAATGCAGGGTCCAGGGAGACCAGATATAGTGAATGCAGGGTCCAGGGAGACCAGATATAGTGAATGCAGGGTCCGGGGAGAGCAGATATAGTGAATGCAGGGTCCGGGGATATAGTGAATGCAGGGTCTAGGGAGAGCGGATATAGTGAATGTAGGGTCCTTGGAGAGCGGATATAGTGAATGCAGGGTCCGGGGAGAGCGGATATAGTGAATGCAGGGTCCGGGGAGAGCGGATATAGTGAATGCAGGGTCCTGGGAGACCGGATATAGTGAATGCAGGGTCCGGGGAGAGACCAGATATAGTGAATGCAGGGTCTGGGGAGAGCGGATATATTGAATGCAGGGTCCGGCGTTTAGCAATACTTTAAGCTTTCCTAAGTAATAGCACAGGAACAAGTAATTTTGAAAATATGAGCTGACATTATTATGTGTGTCCAACGGACAAGACATCTTTGTGCTTTGTGACTCATCTAGGTGAAGACCTGATTATTATTAAGGTTGAAGACATAGATGATGAAGAAACATATATAGGGGGTGATGAGCTGTGTAAGGAAATCCCTCCAGAGATCAGCCCAGGTGAGGAATAAACACTAAATCCAGAGAAGAGTCCCAGATCCTCCTTGTTCAGTCACTACAACAATCTCTTCTTCTCCCTCCTCCTTTGTCAGTAGACAGTAATAGGGGGACAGTATGTGCCCAGTGGGGGGGTCAGGAGCCATCAGCCTCTATTAGACTCCTGTAAGAGGTACTCCAGGACCCATGTTAGAAGCAGTAGGTAATTCGAATAGAATGTCTAACAGCCATTGATCTTTTACCTGCAGAAAACCTAAAGAGCTCATTCACACAAGTGCAGTGACTTCCATTAGTGTCAACCCCAATCACCACTAATACACGCGCGAACAATTGTTTCCTATGTGCCCACTTTGCATTTAAAGCAGAGCTTCACCCCAAAATGGAAGGTTCCACTTGTCTTCCTTCCCCCCTCCTCTTTAGGTTTTGGCACTCTGTTTCCTTTTTTTGGGTGGTGGTGGTGGTGGTGGTGGGGGGGGGGGGTACCTTGCTTCAACAGATACCACTCCCACTTCTGGTCAGATCATGGTTGTGATCCAAGTGGAAATTCAGCTCCCCCTTCCTTCCCCCACAGCCTCCTGAGACACGTTGCAGGTCTCAGAAAGCTGGGGGACCATTCACAAAGCGCAGTGAGAAGCCACCAGCAGCCACATCTGCCTGCACATGGACCCAAAGACAGCTGAAGATCTGGCTCAGGTGAGGGCATTGCTGGATCCCTGGACAGGGAAGTGTCCTATTATTAAAAGTCAGCAGCTCAGCTCAGCTGGCTCAGGTGAGGACATCGCTGGATCCCTGGACAGGGAAGTGTCCTGTTATTAAAAGTCAGCAGCTCAGCTGGCTCGGGTGAGGACATCGCTGGATCCCTGGACAGGGAAGTGTCCTATTATTAAAAGTCAGCAGCTCAGCTCAGCTGGCTCAGGTGAGGACATTGCTGGATCCCTGGACAGGGAAGTGTCCTATTAATAAAAGTCAGCAGCTCAGCTCAGCTGGCTCAGGTGAGGACATTGCTGGAAACCCTGGACAGGGAAGTGTCCCTATTATTAAAAGTCAGCAGCTCAGCTCAACAGGCTCAGGTGAGGACATTGCTGGATCCCTGGACAGGGAAGTGTCCTATTATTAAAAGTCAGCAGCTCAGCTCAGTTGGCTCAGGTGAGGACATTGCTGGAACCCTGGACAGGGAAGTGTCCTATTATTAAAAGTCAGCAGCTCAGCTCAACAGGCTCAGGTGAGGGCATTGCTGGATCCCTGGACAGGGAAGTGTCCTATTATGAAAAGTCAGCAGCTCAGCTCAACAGGTTCAGGTGAGGACATCGCTGGATCCCTGGACAGGGAAGTGTCCTATTATTAAAAGTCAGCAGCTCAGCTCAGCTGGCTCAGGTGAGGACATCGCTGGATCCCTGGACAGGGAAGTGTCCTATTATTAAAAGTCAGCAGCTCAGCTCAGCTGGCTCAGGTGAGGACATCGCTGGATCCCTGGACAGGGAAGTGTCCTATTATGAAAAGTCAGCAGCTCAGCTCAGCTGGCTCAGGTGAGGACATCGCTAGATCCCTGGACAGGAAAGTGTCCTATTATGAAAAGTCAGCAGCTCAGCTGGCTCAGGTGAGGACATCACTGGATCCCTGGACAGGGAAGTGTCCTATTATTAAAAGTCAGCAGCTCAGCTCAGCTGGCTCAGGTGAGGACATCGCTGGATCCCTGGACAGGGAAGTGTCCTTTTATTAAAAGTCAGCAGCTCAGCTCAGCTGGCTCGGGTGAGGACATCGCTGGATCCCTGGACAGGGAAGTGTCCTTTTATTAAAAGTCAGCAGCTCAGCTCAGCTGGCTCGGGTGAGGACATCGCTTGGATCCCTGGACAAGGAAGTGTCCTATTA